AAAAAAAAAAAAAATCATGTTCTGTAGGGTGAATGTGGACTTCCAGAAGCAGACAGTGGACCCCATGCAAGTCTCGTTCAACACATGTGACAGGTCCCAGACGGTCACGGATCTCCTGCTAACTGTTGACGTCACCGAGGTGAGAATGATGCAGTAGAGCTGCTTCTCCTTCTTACTCTAAACCTGCCGTGTTGTACACGTGGGTCGAGTTTACACTCACGCAGCCTGTTCACCTTGGTAATCTAGTTCGTGTGGGCAAGCTTGAATCATTGTATTGTTAAATTGAAGTGTGGCTAAAATGAAAATGAAACAAATATTCATTCTAGAAGCAAAGTTAATTTTCAAAATGTCAGGTACATTTAAAATGCCAAAATTAGATTTAACATGATACATGTTAAAAGTGTTAGTTGGCATAATGATATAGGCCTGTAATATTCAGTTTATGTTAACAAAGCTAGCAGTAATACCATTAGTATTTGGGAATGGTTTTTACTTTAGAATAAAAATTAAAATACTTTGTTTTCTTGTGAATCTGTTGCTATACATTGGGAAATTTCCTATAAAGTCTGGATTCTAGACAGCTTGGAGAACCCTGGTGATGGTGGCCGTGGGCAGAAGCTGCTCAGCAAAGCCCTTCTTGATGGAACGTGCCCCCTTCCACCCTTCCCACTTGCCATCCCTTGTCTGGTGGGCTGTGCATTCACCCCGGGCCAGCCCCCACCCTCAGAGGACACTTGCAGGCCCTGTGGGATTCCCCTTGCACTAAACAAAGATGAAATGGCTCTTCTCTCTTGTGACCTCCCAGAAGCTTTAGCACTCGTATATGCTAATGAGTCTTGTTCTTCCAAGAAAAGACCACATAACACATATTTCCTTACTTGTGTTGACCAGAGAGGTCCCTCTTCTGATGAACATCTATTTAAAAACCTGTAAAATACAAGAAACGCAGCTTGTGAAATGGCTGTGTGGTGCAGTGTGCCAGCCACATGCTGTAAGCTTACAGTCCTCCTTGTAGAAATCCTTTCTAGCCAATTTCATTTCCACTTCTCTTCCTCTTCCTTTCTAGGTGGTTGAAGTAGGACACTTTTGGGGCTATAGGATTGATGAAAAAAATGCAGAGATTCTGAAAAAGCTTACTGCCGAAATAAACCAACTGAACTTGGCCCCCTTGCCCAGTCACCCACACCCAGACTTGGTCTGTTTGGCACCCTTTGCTGATTTTGATAAAGAAAGCTACTTCAGAGCTCAAATTCTTTATGTTTCTGGAAATTCTGCTGAGGTATGTTTTTCTCTGTAACATCACTCAAAGAGAAATGAGACTAAAACTTGTAGCAGTTTATAGAACATCTTTTGTAATTATAGGTGAAAATTAAATTTAAATTGCAATCAGAAAAGTAGTCTAAATTATTTTCCTCATTGATGTGTGAATTTAAGCTCAGCCACACCAAGGATTCTGTAATTACTGAATTAGAGTAGATTGTTGCATTGCAGTGCTCAAGTAGGGCGTTACTTTAACTCTGCTCTGAAGGGAGTGCTTGCTTTATTTTCTAGGTATTCTTTGTAGATTATGGTAACAGGTCTCATGTAGATCTGGATCTTTTACGGGAGATTCCCTGTCAGTTTCTTGAACTTCCCTTTCAGGTAGGTAGAGAAGATTCCATGGAATGAATGCTGAATACTAGATCTGATTCTGCAAATCATATCTCCCCACCCCACTCGGCTCATAGCTCGGGAAAGCAGGGCCCAGAAAAGGGAAGGGACTTGTTTTGTCATTAGCAGAATTTGGTTTCTGCTCTTCCAAAATATCTGAAGGCCTGTAATCCCTGCACTCTGGGAGGCCGAGGTGGGTGGATGGCCTGAGCTCACAGGTTCCAGACCAGCCTGAGCAAGAGCAAGACCCCATCTCTGAAACATAGCTGGGTGTTGTGGTGAGCGCCTGTAGTCCCAGCTACTTGGGAGGATGAGGCAAGAGAATTGCTTGAGCCCAAGAGTCAGAAGTTGCTGTGAACTGTGATGCCACGGCATTCTCCTGAGGTGATAAAGTGAGACTCTGTCTAGGAAAAAAAAAAAAAATAAACATTAATAAAAAAAAAAGGAGTTGTTTTAATTCAGTAGTATTTTCTATTAGTTTCCAAGGTTTCTGGTTATGTTGAAACCAGACAGTCTATAGTGGGGCTGGAGACATATTCACACATACCTTTCCTATCAGTGTGAAAACAATCTAAGTTATTCTGAATTCTTTTGTTTTTAAAAAAATCAAAATCAAGTTTCTTTTCTTATGAAGTCCTCACTACCCTCAAATTATTTTTTTGTAAGATTTTTGTGTCAACCCTAAAGATACATGAGCAAGGTCACTTTTCAGTGGTATCTAGGATGAGTGTTGCATGCGTTAATAAAATAGTTCCAGCCATGCCTTTCTGTCCTGTAGGCTTTGGAATTTAAGATTTGCAAAATGAGGCCATCGGCCAGGTCTCTGGTCTGTGGGGAGCACTGGAGTGGCCCGGCCAGCCGGCGGTTCGCCTCCCTGGTGAGCGGCTGCGCGCTCCTGGTCAAGGTCTTCTCAGTGGTGCACAGTGTACTGCACGTGGATGTGTACCGCTACTCACGGGTCCAGGACGCCATCAACCTCAGAGACGTGCTCATCAAGGAGGGCCATGCTGAGCTCATGGAGGAGTCCTACGAGTCCAAAGTACGTGCACGTGCTCGTCCATGGGGTGCTGTTTGTGAGAGGTCTGCAGCCCCATTTTCATGTCTTCTAGCCTTCTCTGAGCCTAGTGACAGTGACTACATATTTATTGCTTTTGTTTATTCTTGTTTCTCTTAGAATGGAAATTAGATTTGAAAATATTCTCTCTTTGGGAAGCTTTAAAAATGAATTCTAAGATTTATCTTCCTTACGGGGAGGTAGTTAATATTTCTTTCAAATATTTTGAGCATTTTAGAATTGTTTTCAATTACAGTAGAACCTCCATAGCTGACCACCTGCTTCAGCTGACCTAATTTTCACAGACCAGACATTCATCTCATGTCCGTGTCAGTAGAGCAAGTCTAGTTCCTTCTGGTGACCACCTCCATGTGCTGGCCAGTCTATTATAAACCATTGGGACGCCAACGTACAGAGATTCTGCTGTATTTCAGAACCAGTTCTAACGTTATTATTTCTTGCCGGGAAGGTTTCAGAGATGCCACTGTTTTTTCCTTTTATTTTTAGTTGATAACATAGGAATTGTATGTATTTATGGGGTACAGAGTGGCGTTCTGGCATGTATATAATTTGTAATGGTCAAATCAGGATAATCAGCAAATTCATCAGCTCAAACATTTGTTGTTTCTTTGTGTTGTGAATACTCAGAACCCTTGCTTCCTGCTATGTGAAAATGCACATGACGTCACAGTTGGCTGTGTCCACCCTTCAGTGCTGTAGAACACGCAGCCCATTCCTCCTGCCCTGTTACCCCAACCTGTTCAGTTTTTCATAGCCACAACTGTACTCTCGTTTCCATAGATTCTGACTTTTTAGCTCCTGCATGAGTGAGAACACGTGGTCTTCATCCTCCCATGCCTGCCTTGTTTTCCTCACATGATGTCTTCCAGGCTCATCCACAGTGCCAGGAATGGCAGGGTTTCCTTTTATGGTTGGACCGTGTTCCATTGTGTGTGCAGGTTGTGTCGTCTTTGTCCAGTCATCTCTTTTTTTTTTTTAATTTATTGTTGGGGATTCATTGAGGGTACAAGAAACTAGGTTTCACTGATTGTATTTGTTAGGTGAAGTCCCTCTTACAATCGTGTCTTGCCCCCAAAGGTGTGGCACACACCAAGACCTCACCTCCCTCTGTCCTTCCCTCTCTCTGCTAATCCCTTCCCCACCCCTCCCTTCTCCTCCTTCTCTCTGCTCTCCCCTTCCCCTATCCCCACTGTGTCATTAATTGTCATTAATTGTCCTCATATCAAAATTGAGTACATAGGATTCATGCTTCTCCATTCTTGTG